GGGGGGCTTGACGTAATACTTCAGGTTTTAAAAAATAATGATAAAACACCCACCCACATACAAACACATAGTGTGTGTGAGTGTGTGCGTGTATGCGTGCACACGCGCATGCGTATGTTTTAGTTTTATCATTATTTTTTTCTAAACCTAAAGTGTTATGCCAAGCACTCCTTGTCCAAGTGTCTACCTTCATGTCCGAGTTGAGTTTCCCATCACTGGCGTAAAACTCCAACTGGTCCATGACAGGCTCCACACCTTTGTGGTTGGCCTGCACGTAGTTGATAGAACCATCGAGAATATCCCCGTACTTGAAAGCGTTCACTCTCACGCCTGTGTTGAGCTTCTCCGAGCCTGGGCTCGGCTTGGTGTTCTCGATGTAGCCCCAGCGGGGCTGCGAGGTGATCAGAAACTGGATCTCCTTCGTCTTTGAGTCAGGGTCGCTGACCTTCAGGACTTCCTGTGAGAAAAGAATGGGATACGTTTGTTCAACAAGTGCTCTGTCTTCGTCACTCCTACAATTTCTTTTAAGTAGAAAGATAGAAGTTAACGGTGCAAGATGATTCCAGCATAGTTTAGTTCCAACTTCAGCAAGACGCCTGAGGATAAATGTAGGAGGAATGAGGAATAAGCAATCCCATGGCTGGGTGTGTCACAAATCAGGAACGAGAACACTAGCAGCCGTACGATGCTTTACCCCACAATGCTTTACATCACATCAATTTACCCCCAAGACGCTTTACACAATGGCAATTACAACGCTGTACCCCCACGATACTTAACTCCTATGATGAAGCTCTATTACATGATTCTTTACCCTAACCCCATTACGATGCTTCACCCCACAGCAATTTACCCTACAGCAAGTTACCCCACGATGCTTTGCCTCAAGATTCTTTTTCCCTACGATGCTTTACCTCATGACTCTGTACCTCACAATGCTTTACCTCACTATTCTTTATCCCGCGATGATTTACCTCATGATTCATCAACCTCTCCTAGATGATTTATCCCCACGATGCTTCACATGCTGGGCTTATTATTAAATTTTCATCTACAAGTGAAACCTCCTCATTTTACAAAACATAGACATCCATATCAATACTCACATGGGTACAGTGTGGAAAGAAAACCAGTAAATAGTGCTCCTAAGCGCTTAGACCTTCGCATGTGACAAGTTAAATTTATGTCCTTTCTCCTGGATTTTGGGGGCATTTTGAGAGGTTCTGATGTCACATTTCTGCCATTAACATCATCATGAAAAAACAAGAACATACCAAAGTCACGTAGTTCACTGAACGGTCACTCACTTCACTAAGACAGAAATCAGGTCATTCACTGAACGGTCACTCACTTCATTAAGACAGAAGTCAAGTCATTCATGGAACGGTCACTCACTTCACTAAAGCGGAACGATTCTCCTTCTGCCACAAAGACCGGACTGCCCAATAGGATGACCGGCTTCTGGTTGTTGACCGGCGTGATTGTGATATTGAGGTCATACATGGGCATGTCCGCCGAGGCCAGGTAGTTCTGGTCAGAGATGATGAAGGATGCGATGTCCTTGACCGCGTTGGTTCCGATTTCTCCACTTGTGTGCAGGAATGTCACCTGCAGAGAAATAACCATTCTTCTACTTTTAAATATGCAGAAACTTCACGTAAACTACCATAGAGTGAAATAATAGTTCTTTTTGCGTGTTGAAACATCACCTACTGACCAATGATTGCTCCTTTTGGAGTGACAGAATCATATTGAGCTGACTTGCTGAGGGAATGAATTCCAGGGGAAATGAAGATACACAACTCCTCTCTGCTCTGCCTTTATACTCCTTTCTGTTCAGTTTTTCTACTTCTTTCTTCTCTGTCTTTCTTCTCTTTTCTGCTTCGTCTTTCTGCTGCTTTCTACTCTGCCTTTCTTTGTCTATCTACTCCTTTTTAATCTGTGTTTCTACTCCTTTCAGCTTTGTCTTTCTACTGCTTTCTACTCTGTCTTTCTACTCTTTTCTGATCTGTCTTTCTGCTCCTTTCTACTCTGGATCTCTCAGCCTGCCTACTCCTTTTTACTCTGTCTTTCTACTCCTTTATACTCTAGTTTTCTAATCTCTTCTCTGTCTTTCTCTTCCTTTTTACTCTTTCTCACTACTCTTTTCTGTTCTTAATTTCCACTCTGTCTTTCTACTCCTTTCAACTACAAATATCTGTTCCTGTGTTTCCTAGATGTCTCTTATTTTTAGTATTAGATTTATACTTTTCCCTTTCACAAGTTCTTTTGAATTTTTTGAAACATGAAAGCTTTGTTTGAAAATACAATAGATCTAGTTCTTTCCATACTATAGTTTGCTTTTGTGGGAAAAATATTTGTGGGTCAATAAGTGCAGAATCTCTACTTGTCCTAAATATCTGTGAATCAATAGGTGCAGAATCTCTACCTGTCCTGTCTGTGGATCAATAGGTGCAGAATCTCTACCTGTCCTGTCTGTGGATCAATAAGTGCAGAACCTCTACCTGTCCTTTGGATCAATAGGTGCAGAATCTCTACCTGTCCTAAATATATGTGGGTCAATAGGTGCAGAATCTCTACCTGTCCTAAATACCTGTGAATCAATAGGTGCAGAATCTCTACCTGTCCTGTCTGTGGATCAATAGGTGCAGAATCTCTACCTGTCCTAACTTCTGACCCACCTTTTCATCCTTTACATCTTCTTGGGTGAACTTTGTGGCTGGCTGGCCCCTCAATTGCAGCACACCATACCTGAAGGACAGAACAAACGAACATGATTAAATGAACACAATATGTGAGGCATCACAGTGAAATCAGGCGCTAGGCAAAATAATGAAATCGAAGAAAACACAGCATTTTTATTCTTGTTTGGCAATTTTTATAGAATTGTTTGTTTTTGGCTCAACACCTTTTATGTCCATTTAAAAACACATTGCTGGGTGGATTTTACTGAAAAACTTTGATTGAAGGCACAAAAAATCAATTTCCAAGAACACTAAAGCTTTGAAAGTCACCAAACTTTGGCGGCCATTTTCTCACTAATTTTACAACTGAAACCAGGCAACCTTCACCTCCTTTAATAGAAAATATTGAAGAAAGATGGGTAACATTTTCATAGAAAGAAATACAAAAGAACAAGCTTTAACATTCCTTCCCCCAAAATTGACGAGCGCCTGATTCCACCGCGTCGTGACACATGTGATCCAAAAACACCTATTCTACTTTATTTGTAAATATTTTCATAAAACAATAAATTGTTGCACCAAGAGTTGATAGCAACAACAAACCTGAGAAAGCTCAAACAAACAAGCAAAGATAGAGAAAGTAAAAGAAGCGACAATGACAAGTCAGATTTCACAAGGACTCCATGAATTAACATCTTCAATAAGAATTCAAAGACAAGTTTCCAGCACTGTCAGAAGGAAGCCAGTAGAGCTGGGCGAAGAATCAATTCCGGAACCGATTCCCATGATACATGCGACGGAGGAAAGGTTCCGACTCCTTTTTACAAAAACCAACTGTTACCAGTAACTTTAATCATTAAATTTTTTTTCTCCCTTTTTTAGAATTTTTTTTTTTTTTTTAATTGATTCCATGTGATTTTCCGAAATCAAGGTTATCCTAAATCCTGAAGATGTTCGTAGCCAACCAGGTAACCACCAGAAGAAATCACATTAATAGAAAATAAGTAATTGGGTTCGGAGTTGATTCCTACGATTCCTAGCTTTCAATAATCGGGAACCTAGCCGCCCAGCACTAGAAGCCAGGGCCTGGGAGAAGTATGCATATTTATTTTTTTGTGTCGTAGTATAAGCCAGGAGGCTTCATTGGCAGACTTTGTAAAGGGGCTACGCTGTTGATGTCATTCGTGCACGGCTAGGCATAACAGGTTAGTAAATCTAGAACGCGCTGTATCAGTGCTATAAATACCTATGAACATGTGTTCAGTAGCAACATTTCTGTAGTTCTGTGACTCACTTGGGCTGTCGAACGATGAGAAAGACGAGACTCTCGTCGTCAGTGTCCTCATCCGTGGCTGCCAGGATGCGGCTCGTGATGGTGGCTTCTTCCCCCTCGGACACGATGAGCTGGGGCCGCAGGTTCTTTGACAGAGTCGGCGTCTGGTCATCTATGGGCACAATCTGAGACACAGACAAAACCCTCCATTAGTCCAGGAATGTTTATTCCGTTTGTCCACCCAACAAAAGACTTACTTTACTTTCATCCATCGCTTATATTTTTTGGGGTGTGGCGGTAAGAAAAAGACATCTCCCTGCCACCAGCCGGAGAGCTTGGGTCAGGGGGATGCCATGAGTTCTTAGTGTTTCCCTGACTCCATCTATCCAGGTCCTTCTCGGTCGCCCTCTAGCCTTGTTGCCATTGAATTTTTTTAATGCAGGCACGTTGTGCTGGCATAGAATATTTATAAGATTCAAATCTTTATTGTCCAAATGCTAGCACATTGGTTTCGTCTCTCATCACATGCTCACATACACACACACACACACACTCACATGCTACCACACATGCTCATGCTCACACACACATACACACACACACACACATACACACACACACACACACACATACACACACACACACACACACACACACACACACACATACAGACAATAGAAATGAACAATCTCATTCAGTGAGCATCATTTCTAAAAAGTGTCTATGAACTTACTTGTATCGAGATGACCTTTGTGGCCTGGTTCGTGCCATCTGTCAAGGCCAAGGTGAATGTGTCCAGAACAACATCAGATCCATCATGGAGATATCTGAGTCACAAAACAAAACAACATCATTTTTTGTTTTAGCAAGTGTTTTACGGCACTTGCAACACAATAAGGTCATATAAGTGCCGAAGATTAGAGGCGTTACAAGAGAGTAACAAACACGAAAACAAAACAAGGAGGGGAGATAAACACGATACATGTTTGATAGGAAAGAAGAAGCAAACCACACCAGAGCACCCGCCAACCACCGACAAATAACATCAGATCCATCATGGACATACATATCTACGTCCCAAAACAAAAACAAAACAACATCAAAGCCATTATCGACATAACGCTGACATTAACACATACACGCACACACATACACACACACACAAACACACACACACATGAACACACACACACACACACACACACACACATACATACATACATACATAATGCACCTGGTGTGAATTTTTTCCTCAGATCCGCGTGTCATAAAACAAGATGAACAAGCCATACTAAAAAGCTAGGCTTAATTAAACAAAAACTGTATACAACTCTCTTCTTGTGGTAGACAGTGACTGATGATAATGCACACGTGAACGGACACTGGGTATAGCACAGCTACACGACACATTGAGAGACACAGCACAACTACACGACACAGCTACACGACACATTGAGAGACACAGCACAACTACACGACACAGCTACACGACACATTGAGAGACACAGCACAACTACACGACACAGCTACATGACACATTGAGAGACACAGCACAGCACAGCTACATGACACATTGAGCAACACAGCACAGCTACACGACACACTGAGAGACCCAGCACAGCTACACGACACATTGAGCGACACAGCACAGCTACCCGACCCACTGACACACTCAGCGACTCTCACAAACGCTGTAACAAACGAGACAGCAAGTGAACAGAGACACAATAAGAGAAATTTTTAATTTCACCACACCTCGAAGGATAAAATAGAATACCAGATCTGCTCATTCGTCAGATCTTCGATGATACCACAGAATATCTGATGTGCTCTAACGTCAGAATTTCAAAGATAAAATAGAATACCTGAAGAGTCTTTTCATCAGACCCTCGATAATAAAATAGAACACCTGATGGGTTTTTTTGTCACATCCTTGATGATAAAATAGAATACCTGATGTGTTCTTACATCAGATCCTCGATGATAAAATGGAATACCTGAAGTGTTTTTTCATCAGAACCTTGATGATAAAATAATACCAGAGGTTTTCTTCCATCAGCTCCTCAATGATAAAACTAGAATACCTGAAGTGTTTTTTCATCAGATCCTCGATGATAAAATAGAATACCTTATGAGTTTTTTCGTCAGATCCTCGATGATAAAACTGGATCCCTGGCGGAGCATGCGGCCATCGTTCTGGAGAGTTCCAAACCTCGGGGGCGCGTCCAGGATGAACTTAAGCATGCTGACCGGCGTGTCCAGGTCTGTCGCTGACAACTGACCCATGGTGATGCCTAGGATGCCTCCCTCCTCCACCAGGAGCTTGTCGGTGACGAATTCAGGAACGCGGTTGTTGACAGGGTTTACCTGAGGGAGTGAGGTCGTGAGTGGGGAGGTAGTGAGTGGGGGTAGGGGGAGGATGAGCGGGTGGAGGGTGGATGGATGAGGTGAGCGGGGGTGGGTTACGTTGTTATTGATCACATTTACATTTTATTTTTTAAAGTAATTAGTATCAGTGCTGGAATTATGGACTTAGGTTTTGTCACTGTCATTCCCTCTGATTATGTGAGTTTATACAATTATGATGTAAATGTCATTTACTCTGATTATATACGTTTTATACGTTTATACAATTAAGATATGAATGTCATTTACTCTGATTATATACATTTATACAATTATGATTTAAATGTCATTTACTCATGTTACACGTTTATACAATTATGATATAACAGTCATTTACTATGATCATATAGGTTTGTATAGTTCTAATGTAAATGTCATTTCCTCTTATTACATTCGTTTATACAATTGTGATATAAACGTCATTTACTCTGATTATAATAAACGTTAATATGTCTGTGCAATTATTATGTAGATGTCATTTACTCTGATTATATATGTTTATACAGTTATGATGTAAATGTCATTTACTATGATTATATATGTTTGTACATGACTCACCTCTAAGTCAAATGTTGGTACAAGTCTTTATGTCAAATGTCCGTACATGTCTCACCTACATGTCAAACGTCTGTACATGGCTCACCTCTATGTCAAATGTCTGGCCATACAGCTTGTTCCCGCTGGAATCCTCCACTGTGTAGGCCAGCCGCACCAGCCGAGACTCTGGCCCTATGTCGGTCTTGGGCGGGATGTAGGCGATCTTCAGGTGGTCGATGTCGGCCTGAGTGAAAGTGACCACTGGGTGGTGGCCGAGACACAGTAAAAGTGATTAGCTGGACATTGTAAGGTGCAGTAGGCGCAGAACGGGCAGTAACTGTTGTGTGTGTGTGTTGTGTGTGTGCGCGCGTGTGTGAGTGTGCATGCATAAGAGCCTGCATGCGCATGTGTGTGTGTGTGTGTGTGTTCATGTGTGTTTACATTTTTGAGTGTGTGTATGTGTACGTGTGTGTTTGTGAGTGTGTGTATATGTGTGCGTGTTTGTGTTTGTATGTGTTTGTGTGTGCGTGTGTGTGTGTGTGTGTGTGTGTGTATGTGTGTGTGTGTGTGTGTGTGTGTGTGTGTGTGTGTGTGTGTTCA